TCTCATGTTGTTTTTCACAAATCAGACTTATGAAGGAAATGATGAAAATGCCCTTATGATTAAATATAACATGTACACTCATCAGCTCCAACATTTCCCTCCCGATTTGTCTCTTTCCCGCCATTAATGAGAGCTGCATGTAAGTGGTGGGGCTGCACATTGAAGAATACCATTCTTAAAACAGAGTTGTGGTTGTGCTTGGAAGAAGTGGAGTTGCCTTAATTACTGACTCAAGGAAGCTCAAAGAGTTGTGCTGGTGCATTTAGACAGGTGTGTCTTTTTTTTTCGAATCCCTGCATCTGAATAAAAAAGTTTACTCCATTAAGGTCTGATTTCTTGCAAAATGGCTCTCGTAAGGAAAAAGATGGAACGGTTTATTGCAACTGAACATGAATTTTTTTTTATTTCATGTTTCTAAAGATTCGACATTTTGCAACTGAAAGTATAAGAATTTATCATCGAGTGTCCATATCTTAAGATGGAACGCTATCACTGTTTCACTGATGCAAAAATCACTTATGTTAAAAGTAACTTATTTCTAAGTGATATATGATTACATTTTATTTTGTTTATTGTAGGTTGATATTATTGGGTACGATAGGAAGTTGTTGTTTTAAGGAAATTTTTTTTATTTTCATTTTGGTGAAGATATTATAAAAGATATGCATGGGACAATGCATTATGATGGGGGGAGTTGTAATGGAAGAATGATTAGAGAAGGAATGTCTCTTGAAGGACTTGTTAGATAGATTCATCATGCTTGAATTGTGATTTAAATGGAATAGAGTTGAAGTACACAGTAAAGTTTGATTGTAATGCTCTTTTAGACTTCAAAGATGATGAAAGGATAAATCAATTAATGAAATTGAATGATAATTTTGCTCATGTGTACATCATTAGGAAGATACAGCAAAGTATAGAGGCAACAAGAGATTCAATTGATGGGTAAGTTTTTTTAATAGTTGCATGATTAATATTATGCTAATATGAATATGAATGGTAGTAATAAACATGATTTGAATGGAAATGTAGAGCAAGATGTTCAGTTAGGAATTCATATGCTACACAAGATCTTGAAGTTCTACCATGTGCAATACAAAGTATCCCACACCAATGCCTGAGCTAAATGCAACAAAGTGGAAGGATTTGCTAGTAGGACGTGGGCAAATTTTTGCGAGTGCTGATGATTGTAGACAAGTAATCTACAAGTATAGTATTGCACTATGCATGTTATCTTTGTAGCTCATAGGAGAAAATATACAATGGCACTATGCATCATGTTGAGACCCATGAGATGTCAAAGACAAATACATTGACAGTATCTAAGCTCATAAGCCAAACCTTTTTACTACCTCCTAGAACATCTTGATCAGCTAGCAGACCTCATCATGTGAGGATTGAGTCTCAATATCAGTAGAAGAAGGTTTATCATTGTTCTCATTATCATGAAGAGCAAGATGTTCAGTTGGGAATTCATATGCTACACAAGATCTTGAAGTTCTACCATGTGCAATACAAAGTATCCCAACACCAATGCCTGAGCTAAATGCAACAAAGTGGAAGGATTTGCTAGTAGGACGTGGGCAAATTTTTGCGAGTGCTGATGATTGTAGACAAGCAATCTACAAGTATAGTATTACACTATGCATGTTATCTTCGTAGCTCATAGGAGAAAATATACAATAGCACTATGCATCATGTTGAGACCCATGAGATGTCAAAGACAAATGCATTGACAGTATCTAAGCTCATAAGCCAAACCTTTTTACTGCCTCCTAGAACATCTTGATCAGCTAGCAGACCTCGTCGTGTGAGGATTGAGTCTCAATATCAGTAGAAGAAGGTTTATCATTGTTCTCATTATCATGAAGCAGGTCGTACACGGAAGAGGTGAGGAAATCCAAATCCAAGTTGATGTTATTGTAAATGGGTTACCACATGAACTTGGATTTGGGTGATATACATATATGGGTAGTTTTAGATCAAGTTAGATTTGGTTAACATATATAGGTTTTTATACATATATATTGGTAGTATTAAGGGATTTTTTTGGTACATAACAACCCCTCTTTTATAAATCTAAGTTCATGCTTTTGTGTATGTGGACAACTGATATGTGCAGATGTATAGATGATTAATACATGTAGATTATATATACAGTTCATATCTTCTCTATAATCACTAAAAGTGTGGTTGTCTTAAATTTTTGAACAAAGGTTACAAATTATTTAAGGCAGTTGCAAAATTGGGTATGTCAATTGCAAATTACTGGAACCATGTCTTAAAATAATTTGGTAGCTTTACAAATTTAAGAATTCAAAAGTTATTCCACCTAAAATTTTGAGAATAAGTTGTAAATTATTCGTAAGGAAGTTGCAAAATTTAGTATGTTAGTTGCAAATTACTGGAGTCATATCCTAAAATAATTTGATAGCTTTGCAAGTTCATGAATTTAAAAGTTATTCCACCCAAAATTTTAAGAATAATTGCAAATTATTCATAAGGAAGTTGTAAAATTTAATATGTTAGTTGCAAATTATTGGAGCCATGTCCTAAAATAATTGATAGCTTTGCAAGTTTAAGAATTCAAAGTTATTCCACTCAAAATTTTGAGAAGGAGTTGCAAATTATTCGTAATAAAGTTGTAAAATTTGGTA